GGCGGTCTGCCCGCCGATGCGGACTGTGATGGTCTCTGTGAACAGCTGCTGCTTCAGGTCAAAGGTGCCGCTCTGCATCTCCCCCTTCAGTCGGTCCAGCAGGCTGCAGGTGGGCGGCGGCGGCAGGCCGTCACCGGCAGGCACCGGCAGGCATGGGGGGCGCTCGGCATGGGCCCGCGTCGCGGCGGCGTGCAGGCATCAAGGGGCCTGCGCCGTGCCGCGCGTGGCCGGCCGGGCGCGTGCACGCCCCAGAGGGGCGGCCGTAGGACGCTCACGGAGGGCGGGGAGCGCGTGGTCACGCGGGTGTGCGTGTGTCCGGCCGCACCTGACGGGCTGCGCGCCTCCCTTGTACCCCTTTGACAGGATCCCCAACGCACGAGACACGTTGCCGGCTGCATACTCCAGGCCCGCCCAGTCAGCGTACAGGTGCGCACTCGCGGCGCCGATGGCGCTGTTGCGCAGCGTCTTGAACGTGTCGCGCGCGTCGTCGGGGCTGCGCGCCCTGCGGTGTGTTTGTATGTACGCATGTGTGTGTGTGTGTGTGTGTGTGCGCGCGCAGGCATATGTGTGTGCGTGCGTGCATGTGTATGTCTATTAGTGTGTGAATGTGTGTGTGTGTGTGTGTTTGTTGAGGGGAGGGGGCGTAGAGCTGGCGTGGCGCGGGCGTAGGACGGCGGTTGAGCGAGGGCAGGCGGGGGATGGTCGCGCAGCCACTGTAAGCAGGCGGCCAGGAAGGGGTGCTTATACAAAGTGGAATTGATAACAATTTTGTGCCAAGAGCTGCTACATGGAACTACACAGTAAACAAGCTTTTACCAGTCAAGACACGCCGCGCACGGCGACGCCTAGCCCCGGGCCCTTCGCCGCGCGCGCCGCACCACTGCTGCCGCGCATAGCCGAGCCACAGCCGGACGTACTCCTCGTCCCCTTGGTGCTTTGCGCGCGGCACCAGCTGCGTTGCCCAGTAGTATAGGTGGTACAAGCTGACGCCGCCGCCGCCGCCGCCGCCCCCAACCGCCAGGCCGCCCGTCAGCCCGCCCGCGAGCGCGCCGCCGCCCGCGGCCTCCTCGGCGGAGAGGAACGCCAGCCACGTGGCGGGCGCTGACGGGGCCGCGCGGACCGCGGCGGCGAGGTCATGGCGGCCCTCGGAGGGCACGAAAGACGTGGCGAGGTATGACTCGAGGTCGGCCAGCCAAGTGGGCTGCGGCGCCACGTCGGTGGCGGGCGCATGGGCAGCGCCAGCGGCTGGCCAGGCGCCTGAGCCGGCATCGTGGCCCCGCGGGTCCTGCAGCGACGCAGAGGTGGCAGCACCACAGCTATCACGTTCGGCATGCTCATAGATGTTCAAGAAGAAGGGCAGATCAGGGCAATGGACGACGGGGCCACTGCACTGGCTGGCGCAAAGGGAGAGCGTGTGCAACAACGCTGTGCACCTGCGCAAGCATCTTCGCCGCCCTCTGCCGGCTGTGCTCCAGCAAGTTTAAGACTTTTTGTTGTCTCTGATAAGTCCCCCGGCCCTCGGCGAGGTGGCACTTGCTCAGGACGCTAGGCAAGTCGACAGGCCATTTCGAAAATGAGGCCAGGGCGGGGACCCTGTTGAGATAGACATGTGCATGTAAAACCTGGAATCAACTGTGCACGGCGTCAGAGCCTCCCGCTTTACGTGAACTGTGATCTCACCCGTCTCACCCGTGTCCCGTCCGTATTGCAGAGCCCCTCACGCTCGCCGCCGATATCTTGCGAAGCCATCAAAGGTCACTTGAGGTCCACGCGCGTGCTCTGCCCATCACGAGGTGGAACCGAGGCCATCGATGATGCCACTACGCCCCGTGGGCCAGATTCAATGGTGATAGGAAGTCTAGGCCGTCAGTAGTGTGTCCCTTGGGCCTGAATGGGGCCACTTCTTCGTCCTTGCGCGTAACCCCGGCTCCTCGGGCCCAGCTGGCGGGCCGCGAAGGAGAGCGGAGGCAATCGCACACATCGCTTGTTTGAGTCCTGAGTGCAGGTGCGTCAAGGGGTGAGGCTCACGACGCGCGACCACGCCGGCGATGCACCGCGCACCATCGGCTAGGGCATGCGCTTTTGCGGGCGCAGCGGTGCAACGAGCTCGTGCAGTCATTGCTACGTGCGCCATGAAGGGTCATCATCGGATGGCTTCATATGTAGCATAGCGGGCTGCCCTGGGGCTCGAGCACGCAGCCAGCCGGCCGGCACACCCTGAGCTCAACTGCTGCTTGCTGCCCTGCCGCCCGCGCAGGCGCGAGGAGAGCGCGCCCGCCCGTGCCCTCACCGGGCGCCGCCTCCGGGCCACGAGGCCGGCGCGTGCAGGTGGCCGCCACTGGGGCGCACGGTGCCATAGCCTCACATCCCGCTGCCCGTGAGCCAGGCGGGGCTGGAGGTCGCTACCGCGGCCGCGGCGCTCATGGATAGCGCGGTGCTGGGGGCGAGCGTGATGTTGAAGCCGGAAGCGGCCGAGCCGCGCATCAGCAGCAGCAGCGCGGTTGGCGACGGGGGCGGCGGTTTCGCGGCCTGGGGCGCGCCAAGCGGTGGCGTCGGCGCGCCCGGCGGCGCGCCGCATGCGCTCGGCGACGCGATGGGTGGTTTCAAGGCCGAGCGCGGCGGAGAGAGCATGTATGGCGGCGTGGCGGGCGGCGCTGGCGGCGGCGGCTTTGCTGACCCTGGATCGCCGCGGCTGGGCGGCGGCATATTCGGCGGCGCCGGCGCGGCCGTCGCTGGCGGGCTGCAGGGGATGCCCCAGTTTGGGATGGTCCCGGTGGACGCGAGCCACATGGGCGTGCGGCAGGCCGCGCGCGACGCGTCCGCCGGCGGCGCCGCGGCCCCGCAGCTCAGCGGCGCCAGCAGCCTGGGCGCCCCCAGCGCGCTCGCGGGCCCGAGCGGCGACGACGGCGGCTCGAGCAGCGGCAGCATGCCGCCGCCCGCGGGGCGCGCGACGGCGGCGGCGGCGCAGGCGGCCGCGGCTGCCGTGCACCACCACCACCACGCGCGGGACGAGGACGCCGGGCGGCTGGCGGGCGCCGCAGGCATGCCGCAGGTCTTCCGGTCCGAGTACCGCGGCGTGAGCTATGATAAGAAGAAGCGCAAGTGGCGCGTCCAGATCAAGGTCGCCGCCCTGGGCAAGAGCGGCGTCAGCGTCGGCTACTTTGACACGGAGACGGCGGCGGCGCGCGCGTACGACCGCGCGGCAATCGGGCTGCTGGGGCGCCAGAACTGCCGCACGATCTTGAACTTCCCTTTGGAGGAATACGACAATGACAACGTGCCGGAGCTCGTGGGTGGGTAGCACAAGAATGATTCGGACGATCTGTGCGCAGGGTCTGGCGGTAGGGGTCAAACGAGCTGGCTCGGCAGCCGCGAGGGCTGCGCTAACCGGGCGCTGGGTGACGGGGAAAGCACCGGGCCCTCGTCACGCTGAGAGCCCGCCGGCCCGCCCGCGCGCAGGCAAGACGCGCGAGGAGGTCAAGGCGACGCTGAAGAGCGAGCGCGCCAAGATGCCACGGCGGCGGCTGACCAACAGGCGCCGCACGGTGGGGTGGGGCGCCGCCGTCGGGTCGCGGCTGCGGGACGCGTGGGCTCGTAAGCAACCTGTGCAGCGCTTTGGTCATGCACGGCTTGGCAGGCGGGCATCCTGCAGACATATGCGCTTGCGCTCGTACATTTTGAACGAGCCGCCCCATGCCCCCTCGATCCTATGAAACCACTTCAGAGCAAGTATCTGGGTGTGGGCAGCAGCAACAGGAAGAACCAGTGGCAGGCGCGCATCCTATATC